TCACCAGGACCCATGGCTAGTAGGAGGGGATTTTAACGATGTGTTTAATGCTAATGACAAATTAGGGGGGAGAGCCCTTAATAGTAGACGTGCCTTTAAGCTCTGGGACAATATAAACTATTGTAATCTACAAGATTTAGGTTATAAAGGAAGCAAATATACTTGGTCTAATCGTAGGTTTGGTAACAATGGCCTAATTATGGAACGCTTGGACAAAGTTTTTGGTAATAATGAATGGATACAATGCTTTCCTAACGCTTCTATTACTCATCTACCTAAGACCCATTCTGATCACAATCCTCTTCTTATTAATCTTATCCCTAAAAAGAGTCATTTATTTGATAAACCTTTCCGATTAGAACCATACTGGTGCAAACACCCTCATTTTAAGGCAATAGTTAGTAGCACTTCGTGTAACAACTCTTATAATCAAGCTTTGTCCACCTTTAAGGATACTGTCGTTAATTGGAAAAATATTACCTTTGGGGACATTTTTAAAAATAAGAGTCACATTCTTGCAAGACTTAAAGGTATCCAAAACTCTCTATCCTACTACTATAGTACTTTTCTTCAATCATTAGAACACTCACTAATTCAGGATTATAACATCATTTTTCGGATTGAGGAAGATTACTGGAAACTCCGATCTAGAATCCATTGGTTAAACGAAGGTGACGCTAACACAAAATTTTTCCATATTGTGGCAACTAACAGGAAAAGAATCAATAAGATTAATTTCTTCAAAAATGACCTTGGCATGTGGATTAATAATCCTGAGGATATCATTAATCACACAAAAAACTACTTTGAAAAAGCTTTCACAACCTCCCATACTAGTAGCAATTGGAGGCATATTAAGGAAGATCCTAGGTATTTTATTAACTTAGATTTATCCTCCTATATGACCCCGTTACAACTTCTGAAATTACAAAAAACTTGTTTTTCTTTTAAACCCTATAAGGCACCCGGGCCTGATGGTCTTCACCCTTTTTCTTCCAAAATTACTGGAATATTGTTGGTAATTCTGTCACTAATCTCTGCCAAGAAGTTTTCAAGACTGGCATTATCCCTGGAAATATTAATGATACTTTGTTGTGCCTAATTCCTAAGATTCCAAATGCTAATAATTTAAAAAAATTTAGACCTATAGGCCTATGCAATACTGTCTATAAAATCATTACTACGATCATTTCAACCAGGCTGAAACCATTCCTGAACAACATAATTAGCCCTCTTCCAAAGTAGTTTCTTAAGAAATAGGAAAGCTTGTGATAATGCCATTATTATTCAAGAATTAATTCTTAAAAAGAATAAATATCGTGGTAATAAGCACAACATGATTTTGAAAATTGACTTGGAAAAAGCTTTCATTCGTTTAGAATGGTCCTTTGTCTATAGAGCCTTAAGTTTTTCTCCTCCCAGTATTGCAAAGCTCATAATGAACTGTATTTCTTCTAGTAGAATAGCCATCTTAGTTAATGACACTAGAACTAGTTACTTTTCACCAAGTAGAGGCATTAGACAAGGTGACTCTATGTCTCCATATCTTTTTATCCTTTGTATGGAGATGCTCTCTACCCTAATTAACCATAAAGTTGATCTAGGTTGTTGGTACCCCATTACAATTGGCATCAAAAAACATCAAATATCTCATCTATTTTTTGTAGATGATCTAACCTTAATGGCTCAAATTAATGATAAATCTATTGAAGCCATCAAAGGCTGTCTTACATCCTTTTGTCACCTATTAGGACAATCCATCAACAAAGCTAAGTCCAAAATTATTATCTCCAAACATTTCCCTAAGCCTACACAAGTTATCCTCTCACAATCCTTAAGATCAAAGTTAGTAACTTTTTTGGAAAATACTTAGGTTTTCCTATTACGAGCTCCAAACCTAGGGTCAAAGACTTCCAATTTGTCCTTGATAACATGATTTCTAGACTTAGTACTTGGAAATCCAATTTACTAAGCATGGCTGGTAGATGCACTTTAGCAACCTCTTGTTTAAACTGCCTTCCAAATTACTTAATGCAATACACCCTTCTACCGGCTAAGATTCTCAGTAAAATTGATAAGATCCAACGGGATTTTATATGGGGTACTAATGGTTCCTCAAAAAAAACCCATCTCATAAAATGGGACAATATCACTCATAACAAAAAAGATGGTGGGCTAGGTCTTCATGCCGCAAAAAAAAAAAAAACTAGTAAGCCTGGCTAGTCTCACTTGGAGACTCCTTCACAATACTTAATCACCCTGGGCAAAAACAATTTTAGGTCTCTATAGTACTAGGAAAGCACTGAAAAATAACTCCTTTATCTGGAATAGTATTGTACTAGGCTGGGAAGTATGTACCAAAGGGATTACATGGCTGCCTAATAAATCCTCAACCTTGAGTGTGTGGAATAGTCGCTGGATTCCCCAATCGAATCCACTCCATCAATGTATTCAGGGTCCTCTGGCCCTCCAAGATGACACCCTAACCATAAAGAATATATGGAAGCAAAACACATGGGAGTTATCAAAGCTCCCAATGACTCTTGAACCAGGGATTATTAAGAAGATAAATGCTACACACCCCACAAACAAATCCTATGAACACCAATGGTCTCTTTACGAGCAAATCATGCTACTCCCTCTTAGGCAGTCAAATGGAATGCAACAAGGATTTTACGTGGATTTGGGAAGCTAAGTGCCCAAACAAGTTAAAATTTCTATTATGAAAATGCTACCATAATAGACTTCCAACAAGAAGCTTCTTAGACCATATTGGTATAAACATTGATCCTATATATTCTACTTGTAAAACTGATAAGGAAACTATTAAACATGTCTTCTTGGAATGCATGGCAGTTAGACAATTGTGGTCACACTTAGGAATTGATCCCAAAAATTGGAATGGTGTCAATAGTTGGCTAACTTATATTCGAGACCATAACTCTACTTTTAAAACCCCAATTATCACATGGCACGATCTATTTCCCTTTGTCATATGGACAATTTGGATTAACAGAAACAATAATTTATAAAATAACTATACATACTTAGCTAGCCTTAAAAGTGCTATTAATTTAACAGTAGAGTTTAAGTTTTTAACTGAAAAACAAAATACAACGTCAGTAAAAGTTTCAATAAATGTTACGTGGAGTAAACCCCCTAGAGGACTCATTAAGCTTAATATTGATGGTGCCTTCAATAAAGACCAATCGCTTTGTGGATTTGGTGGAGTGTTCAGGGACAACAATAGCCAATGGATAGTTGGCTTCCATGGAAACATCCCAGGAACAACACCGCTTCAGGCGGAATTAATGGCCTTGAAGATTGGTTTGCAGACTGCCATTAGACAAGGATTCACTAAATTAGAAATAGAAACAAATTCAACCGATGTCATTAACTGTTTGGATAATGGAATGATAATGCTAAATGACATTATTTATGAGTGCAGGTTGTTAATGAGGCAGGTGAAGATTGAGGGAATACAACACATTTTCAGGGAGGCAAACAAGCTGGCACACATGCTGGCTAAAAAAGCGCTGAGTGACAACAACAACAGGGATCTCAATGTTATCTACTATGCTCCTAATTTTGTAACCAATGTCTTGAAATCAGACTGTGAAGGCAAGACTTATGTAGTTAGGCTCGTTAACAAAGATGTTTGCTCTAGACTAGCAGCTCTTGGTAACAAAAATGTCCTTAGAGACATATTTTTGGTTTGTAATAGCCAAGTAGGTAATGCCCCTCCGGGCAATATGAACAATATTGTCTTTACTATTACGTGATATATATATATATATATATATATAATATGATACATGTTAGTCAAAAAAAAATGAGTACGAAAAGTTAAGGTACTAAAGAAACTCAAATGAAATCGTCAAATTAGATGAACCCAAGACCTATAATTAATAGTCTAACCAAAGCTTCAGGAAATAAACAACCGTTTGATTCAACTGTGGATTTCAGCAGTTGGCACTCTTTTCTCCCCTGTTACCCGCAACTAAAACCCTAAACCCCAATATTCATTCTGATTCCCACAAAAATGCAAAGGCCTTCTGCACATTCCAATTTCTTCTCTTCTCTCAAACAATTGGAGAAAAGATTGAAACTTGACAACCCAACTCAACAAGAAACCACTGACACACCCGAGACCCAGTCTTTTATCAGCCCATTATACCTTAACTGTGATGAGACCTCCTTCACCAGCAACACAAACCTCAAAGAAAGTGAAACCCCTCTTCAATTTCTCTCAAATTCCCCTCTTTTCCCACTTCACCAACAAACCCCATCTCAGATAAACCCTACACAAGTTCAAGAAACATCAGTTGATAAAGTTGAAGCTGAAGATAATGGAGTTGATGAGATTGAACTGTTGATGCATCTATTGGGTTTATCTGATAGTAAAAGGGAAGGTTCAAAAAGGGTGGAAATGGATTTGGGCTGTGATGTTGCATTTTATGGAAAGATTGTTGGAGTTAAGGGCCCAAAAAGTGGAAAAGAAGTGGAGAGATTAGAAGGTTGGATTGAGCATTTTTTGAATAGTAATAATAGTGGAGAGAGAAGAGAATCATTCAGGTTGGCTCATTTGCTCTTAGGCAAAGCTGCTCTTATTCATTTGGAGGCTTTCCATAGTGTTGGAAGCTTTGAATTTCCCTCTACTGTTGATGAGTTCTTGCATAATGATCCACCAATAGATGAGGTTGCGTCTTCCCTCTCTAGTAAATAAATTTCAAGAAATTGTATTTTATGGTAGAATAGAATGTGATAGATGATTGTAGGCTTATTGAAGGCCTTTATTGAGTTTTGCTTAATTTCACTTCTAGATATTTGTGTTCAAAAAAGTGTACTCATTTCCTGTAGACAATCATCTTTTAGTGAAAGAATTCATTTGCACTTTGGTGTAGCAATTGACTGCTCACTAACTCTCTATTACATGTCACTTTGTAAAGATCTAGCTTTTTGCTCCTTTGTTGTTTTTTGAGCTGAAATATTCTTGAATATGCTGTTCGAATCTAACATGAGAGCTCAATTATATCCTTCTGGTAAAGCAGAAATAATCGGGAAACATTTATGGCTAGAAAGACGTAAACTTTGTTATAATGGTAAAGACTTTTTAAGTTATGGACTAGTTCCATTGGCCGCTAAGGGAAACTTGGTGGTGGTTCACATTAACATTGTTGAACTCCAGCTTCATCTACATCAAATTGCATCTTTTACCAAACAAGCATGTGAATTCATGCATTCCATCTTTCTTAACTTTGAAAGAGAAGACAGAACCTGTTCCATGTCAGGTCTGTCTTCAGGATCAGGAGAGGTGCAGGACAAAGCCAATTTAAGAAGTCCCTCTACTACATCCTGTTTCTTGGAGACATATGAAGCTAGATTAGGATCCACAATCTGGATGAGTTCATTTATGCCATTTGCAGCGGCGTTCTGAACAATTTGATGCAAAGTCATTGGTAATTCATCAGCTCCTGTAAGACCTGTTGGCCTTCTTTTTGTAATGATCTCCATCACTATTACACCAAAGCTGAATACATCTACTTTTGTGGTCACTTTCCTCATATATGCAAACTCTGTTTCATAGCATAATATTTCATGTAAGTAAGGTCTCAAATAAAACAAGGAGCATGTAAATGTCCAACAAATTCAAAATTACCCTTTTTGGTAGATTAAAGCTGACATTAGCATTAAAAGTACTTTGCAGATTAGCAGATTATATGTTCAAAATATCACATTATTTACATGCTCATCTATTCTTCCACATATGAGTTAATCAGTATTTTGTGATTGACAGGCAAAAGAATTCTGCTAAGCTGTATATTGTGATTGAAATAAATGATGTTGTTGCTACTGAATGATACTAAAATAGAATACGTAAACATTACACATTGACCAAAATATGGATTGTGATCCCCATATAAGCTGTTTGTGGATAGCACTCTTTTGTTCATATTAATGGTAACAATAGAATCCAGACAAACTATGGGTTAAGAATTTGTAAGAATGATACCTGGCGCCAAGTAACCAATAGTTCCTTCAAATACGGATGCTGATGATATGCTGCTCCCATCCTGGAGATGAATACCCAACATCCTAGCTGTCCCAAAGTCACTGACATGTGCTTCCATATTTTCATCCAGAAGAATATTTGAAGGCTTCAAGTCACAGTGCACTATTGGAAAATCATAGCCTGAATGCAGGTATGACAAACCACTAGCAACCGAAACTAAAATGTCAATCCTATTGGACAATGTCCAGTCATCCACCATTTGATCATAAATAATATTGTCCAAGTTCCCTTTCTCCATGTATTCTAAAACTAAAGCCTTTAGCTTCTTGCTTTCCCAAGCATAACCGAGCACCTTAACCAGGTTCCTGTGTCTCAGTTGGCTCAGAGTCCTGACTTCTCTGTCAAAGCATTTATCAGCTTCTGTTGCGAACCGGTGATTCAGTTTCTTAACTGCTACAATCTTTCCATCTTCCAGTCTACCCTTGTA